GGCGGAGGTACGGCTCTGCTCGGCACAGACCCTGTGGGCAGCTCCGCTGAGCAGAGGTTCATGAATTATCAGGGTGTATTTGCGTTCTTGTCCATGAGCAAAGTGTTACAGCGGTCGATTGTAAATTGGATGGAAAATTTTGGAGCAGTTATATTGCTGTCGTGTAACGGGTTCAATACGCAGCGTTGCACAGCCGTGCGCTTGGTCGGGGTAAATCCCGTTGCTGATAAATCAGCCCTCGTGTGGGGGTCTGCGGCCCTTGGGGGTACGATTCTGGAGAGCAGAGGAAGTACTGAACCAGAAGAGCCTCAGTATAACTCCTGATTCTTCTTGGCTCACCGACGTCAAACCTTCAGCACATAGGAAAACCGTTTCTGGAAAAAATAGTGATCATCTTTCTGATGGAGAGGATGCACAGCCCATCTCCAGCGGTGACCCCTATGGCTGGATGAGCTGTGGGTGGGTGTCACTGGGGTCTTGAGGGGCTGTGGGTGGGTGTCACCGGGGTCCTGGGGGGCTGTGGGTGGGTGTTACTGGGGTCCTGGGGCCCCCGGCTCTCTTGGGAGCTGCATTTCCACACCAGACATGGGAAGGACCCCGGTGCCCTGGGCCCAGCACTGCTGGGGAGCTGCTCACAGCGCTCAGATCTTTGCATCACTGGAAATTAAATTCTTAGTAATTTTGAGATGTATCAGATTTTATAGCTATAATACTTTAAAATTCCCCATTAACGTTCAGTCTAGTGCTATCTGTCAGTTGTACGGGCACACAGGACCTTATAAAGCTGCAATTTTCATTGCCCAGACACCCCAGCTCTCTCCAGAGTGGGGTCCGGCAGCACAGACTGGTCCTGGAAACAGTAGAAATCCGTGAAGTGTCTCTGCCACAGCACGCGGCGATGCAGAGCCCCAGGGACAGGGAAGGAGGGAGATTTTTTTTCCTGAAAGCTCAATAGCAGAAAAAGGCAGAGAAGAAATATGCTAAAAATAGGCAGGTCCGCGCTGGGCTCGCGCCGTAGTGCCAGACCAGGGAGAGACGTTTAGCGGAGGCAGAAGAGAGCCAAAGCAATGAGCTGACGGTGACGTGTGCCGTGGCTGCGACGAGGGAGTCCAGCGGGGATCGCAGCAGCAGCGAAGCTGCGACCTCGCTGATCGGCCTGAAAACACGGGTCCGGCAGAGAGACCCCAAAATTCACAGCTTCCCCGCCAAACGCTTCACTACCCCTCGAGCTGCAGCGTGATTCCCAGACAGACTCTGCCCTCGGTCACGGTTTTCTTCGCGCTCTTAAAATACTGTGGGTGTTTTGTGGTGTTCGGGGCGGTTGCTGTTCTGCTGCCTTGCTCACGCTCTCTCCGCGCTCCATCCAGACAGCTTCACCTCCGCACCGCTGCCCAGAGCCTCCTGGATGCGGAGTTGTTGTCCAGGCGAATGTGGCTTTTGGCTGATGCTGCGGTCTCCTGCCAGCCCTGGGCAGCCGCAGGATCCCCCTGGGGCCGGGGACCGGGGTGCTCTGGGGTCCTGCTCCCGGCTGCTGTCGGGCTGTCCCTCCGGCGGGATGGCAGACGGTTTCAGAGCTGAAAATGTCGCTGGTGAAGCACCAGGGAAGTCGGTGAGGTTTGCGCCATCCTTGGTGTCACTTTAGGAGTTTCGGACCCGTCAGCTGCTCAGCATCCCTGAGCTCCGCTGCCCTCCTCCTGCCGCTTTGTAAATGAGTTTCTTTGTCTTGCAGAGAGATGCCAAGGGCCAGTACCTGTTCGACCTTCTCTGCCACCACCTGAACCTGCTGGAGAAGGACTACTTCGGCATTCGGTTCGTGGACCCCGACAAGCAAAGGGTGAGAGCCCTTCCTGCCCGCGGGCTGTTGGGGTTCCTTGCAGCTCGGTGGTATCAGCCTGGTCCCGGCTGCTGTGGTGGGAACAGGAGCGTGAGGCAAACGGCTGCAATGAGATTCGGTTTGGGCAGTGCTGAGGAGCCCTTCCCCAGCGATTCTCCCTGCTGGGAAGGGCGCAAAGCCTGGGGGGTTACGGGTGCCCTGATGGGGTTGTGGCTTTGCCTGGGGGAAGAGCAGCTAGTTGTGGTCCCCCTGAGCAGCCTGGGGAGACCCCCTGCCCCTTCCCACCTCTTGGCCAGAGCCAGGGCTGGGGCTGGGGCTGCAGCCCCGGGGAGGGGCCCGGGGGGCACTCAGGCTCCAGCAGCAGCAGCTTCAGTGTCCCGGCACCGCTGACACGTCCTCGGTGTCAGTCGGGATGTGCGAGCCGGGGGGAACTCTCACGGAGCTCGGATCCCGGTGCAAGTGGTGAAAGCATCGCGCGTTTGCAAAGCGAGAGAATTTGGTGCCATTGCAAAGGCAACGAGGGAGCTCTCCTGACCCTGCGCTTGCGGGACTCTTTCTAGCAGAGAATCGTGTTCTAACACTGAGATTAGGCCAAGCGACAGCTTTGTGCTGAGAATCCAAACACTTGTGCGTGTTGCCTCGGGTAATGAAGAGTGGAAGGAGACATCAGAGTGCACAGAGCCAAGAGCGCCCGCGGCAGGACCTGGTCTGAGCCGGCGGCGCAGCTCCCGGCACGGATGTGCAGGTCCCGCCGAGCGCCCGCGCGGCTGCGGCAGGTCCGGGCGGAGGGGGGCACGACACGGTCCCAACGGGATGGATTCCCTCGCAGAAGCTGTGCGAGGGAGTCCTGCCACATCTTCGGGGTTAACCGTCCGTGCTCCTTTTAAAAGGTGTGCAGAACGCAAGCTCTGCCCAAACACACGTGAAATCGCCGCTTGCCGTTAGAGCGCGTGAGGTTTGTGAATGAGGAGCGCTGTGAACGCGCTTGCAGGCCTGACTATTAATAAACAGCCTTGTGTTGCGCTTCCCACTGATCAGGATGAGCCACCGAAACAAACGCTTTCTGCTCCCCGAGGCGCCTCCTGCCACCTCTGCTCTGCGCAGCGGCTGCTCCCGCGCACCGCATCG